TCTTAGCTGGTGAGAGCCCCCTGCAAGTGAACCCACAATCTTCCAATGTGTTTATAGTCTCTTCTTTCCCCACCTTCTCATGTCCTCATTTCTTCATGAATATCTTGAAACCGTGGGCCCCAGCCTTTAAGACAGAGTGAGTGCTGTGTAGTTCTGGCTTCTCATGCGGGCACTTGTACTTATTGTCAGTGCCCTATGGGAGTTCCTCAGAAGAGAAGAATTCACATGTGATGTGTGCATTCCCAGCACATCTTTGATCTCATTGTCCCATTTAAGCCCTTCTGAACCACACTTATTAAACAGGTGTGTTTCTCACATAATAGCATTTATTTGAATATCTGCAGCTGGTATTTTTAAAATAAGTTTGTCATCAGTTTTTGTTTGAGAGTAAATGACATTTTCATATAGTAAATGTAAAGTCCATTCCTTATTTTAGTTCAGTTCAACCCCGTTCACCTTGGTTTATTTAAACTTTCATCTGAGCCTCAAACCTTATAGAGTAAGTTCAGATGGAAAGATTTGGTAACAGACCCCCGTATGCCATAGCCCATGGTAATTTGCCGCTTTCTGTCTCTGTCTTTTGTAACCAGAAATTTGTATAGTATTGCTCTGAGGGTTTGGTTCCAGATACAGCATGATCACAAGAGCGTTTTCATTTGAGTGTGCGCGCTTTTGTCTACATGTGCAATATATTTACCATAGTTTGAGTTTCTAGCTTTTGCGCCAAATAAGTAGAGTACTTAAACCATACCATAGTTTATTGCATTTTGCTCTAAATCTGCAGATTTTTTATTTGAAAGAAGTCTACTGTATACCATATTGAAAGTCAGCGGGCATAGCAGTCGACAGAAGTTTGACATTATTTATGCTATGCTAGTCGCTCCTCTGTCGCATATGGAAGAACCTCAGCATTATCTATGTTTTTCTAATGAAAAATTTTTACGTCTTGAGTTTGTAATTTAAAATGGCATGCCAAATATGTCTCAAATTAGTCAGCTGTCTGTTTCAGCTTCATTTTGTCCTGCAGATCAGCAGATCGAAAACCACCAGTGCCGTTAACCTGTCTGTTAGGGAACAGTTAAAATTCGGTTAATGAACAAATTAAAAGTTTGAAATGACATGAGGACTCATTTGCAGCAATGGGGAAGGAAATAGGAATTCCCATCATTTGCTTAAGAGAAGGTATACACAGTGGCAGCAGAGCCTTTAGAATGAATTTTAAATTGAACTTAAAATGTCTCACCTCCCTTGAGCATTGTATGTACCATGTGCTGTGGTCTTTTCTCTTCTCGCAGTTCCTGGCATCTTGGAGCCCTTCTGACCCCATGTTTTAGTTGGTCACAGAACTTGATCAGCTGAAGGATAGGGTTGATGGAGTATCTTTATGGAATTTATCTTTAAAATTCCAGATGCTGCTTTAACTCTGGAGGGAGACGAGGGTTGTTCTGTCTGATAGACTGTGTACTCTCAGCGCTCACAGGAGGCTGAGGCGGAAGGTTCACAAGCTTGACGTCTGCCTGGGCGGCAAAGAAAGCCACTCACTCAGGAACTCCCAGAACCTATTGATTGGACAAATCAATTTTGTGTGTGGGGGGTGTGTGGGTGTGTGTTTTGAGACACGGTTTCTCTATAGCTTTGGCGCCTGTCCTTGAACTCTCAGCTTGCCTCTGCCTCCTGAGTGCTAAGATTAAAGGTGTGCACCACCTTTAATTGGACAAGTCTTAAGAGTAACCTTTTACCACTAGAATCAGGTTACAGAGGTTTATAAGTGTTCACAACAGATGCCTTGGAACTGCAGTACAGAGCCACAGGCACTCTGAGAGCTGGGAACTGAACTCTGGTCCCCAGGAAGTATAGTAAATGCTCTAACCCCTGAACCACCTGTTTACTGTTTAAAGTACTGTTCAATACTGTTTTGAGTATTCCTTTGAGACTTAATAACCAGGTAATTTCATATTAGCTTATAAATAAATAAATCTCTAAAAATCTAGAATTTGATTTCTATTATTTTACTTAGCTATTGTCCTGCAGATTGAACCAACCAAATTGCTGCAACTTAGTTTTTATTATTATTATTATTTTTTTTAATTTTGTGTAGGGGTGTGTGCGTGCATGTGTGGAAGACACTATTTTGGTTTTTTGAGACAGGGTTTTTCAATGTAGCCCTGACTGTCCTGGAACCAGACTGGTCTCGTACTCACAGAGATCCACCTGCCTCTGCCTCTCCAGTGATGGGATTAATGGCACGCGCCACCTCCGCCCATCTACATTGCTGGATGTGTGAATTCTTCAGACCCATCTCTAGTAATCTGAATTCACTACTTAATACAGCCAGCATTCAAATTCATACACTCCCTACCTTTACCCCACACACAGCTGTGTGCCTTCAGTGTCGGGGTGTGTGAGGACAGTCATAGGTGAAGACAGCTGGATCAGGGGCCTGGACTTTGTGACTTCATATTTTCATTCTTTTGCTACTGAAGAAAGATTAAGCAGGAGCCTTTCAAAAGAGCAGCTGACGCTACCCCCAGCCAGCAGTGGCGTGACTCAGTGTGCTCCTTTGGAGTCGGTAGATCTTTCACATGTTCGTGGCAGAGGTCCAATCTGCCAGACCAGGCAAGAAGTGGGCAAATGCGAGCTGGATGCTTGCCAAGTCTACATACCAAACTGGGTTCTCACTCCGCGCCTTCGGCCGCCCTCCCACTATGGAGCTGTTGGCCCGTGGATCACTTCTGGCTGGAGGTAGAGCAGCTTTTAACCAAAGCAGCCGGCTACACTGTGAGTTGTGACCCTGTTCTCTACAGAGATGACTGTGGCGCTGCTAAGGGCCGCCTCACTTGGTGTCACCATGGTACAGTGGGGCAAGTATCTGACTGGTGACATTTGCAACATGCTGTAATTTCCTGGAAAGAAATCAGGGGGTTTGTTTGTCTGTTTAGGTTTATTTTTCATTTGTTGGGGTGAAGCTTGTTTCTGTTTTATAAATCAGAAAGCTTGCTCTGTAGGTAGGGAGTGTCAGGGTCTTTAGTGGGCTTTTGTTGTTAGTTTGTTAATCTAGAAACGGATAAATTTTGTTCCATTTTTGTTTGTTGTTTTTTGAAGCCAGTGGAGAAGTCTTTCAAGTTATAGATGACTGAGTAGACAATTTCGGTACAAACTTCCAAGTTCTTTACCCTGCAAGTAACTGTGTATCTGTGACTATTCATGTGTTTGGTGTCCCTGTCAATTATCAGAATTCTGTTGTATGTTACAACTTGAGCGTAGTTAGAGGACTGTCCATAGGCCCTGCAGATTACACACAGGCACCATGGGACTATTTTAAATGACAGTGTTTCTAACAGAATTATTCTGAGTATTGGAATATTTGGGGTGGTTCTGCTTATAATAATTGAAACAACAGGTGAGTATTGTCTACCAACACAATTCCCTTCATATCCTCGTTTTATTTTTTTTTATTATTGCACAGGATCCCTTTGTTGTGAAGACATTGTTCAGTTCAGGAGTTTTTCAAAGTACAGAGCGAGCTCTTGTGACATAAGAGTTCTGATAGAATTAAGTAAATCTTGACGTCAAGTAGATGTGACCAGAGCTTTTTCTTCAGTGTCCTATAACGGAGTAAACAGTTGGGCTACATTGGCCTAACTTGTAACATTTTGTAAGTTCAGCAACTTAGACTCCCTAGCAAGGTTTATGTTTTTAAAAAATACATTTTTTGTTTTGTGCTGTAGCAATACCCAAGCATTATGGTTATGAAATGTCGAGAAAATAGTAAAATGTCTTACAAACAAAAACTGCCTTCATCCACTTGGTCTTTCAATGTTGTTTTTATGCATTGTTTTCTGCAGCTTAATGTTAATATTCTGTGGGTCACAGAGGAAAATGATGGAAGGCCACTGTTGATTTTACTGGTTCTGTCCTTACCAGTAACTAAACCTTTAAAGCTTGCAAGAGTGCTTTTCAGCCACACCCCCTCTCTGAAGTCGCTCTTCTCTTAATGCCTGTGTCTCTCAGTCTGCCTTTGTATTTATTGCATTCTGAACCCCAGAATCATGCTCACTCTTGTGAGGACATTTTTCTCGACCTTTAATTTGTTCTGGAATGTACTCTGTTTGTTTGGAAATTAATACTAATTAGCTGGATTATCTTTCCCCTTAATATCCCAGCCTCCAATTTTGACAAAGGAAATAACTGCAGCTTAGTAATGTGTGTCCCCTTCAAGTTCTTATGTCATCCAAATGTCAGATGCCATATTAAATTTTTTTGAATATAGTTATATTTCTAAGTCTTATTTTTGCATCGCATGCCTTAAAAACTGGGACTGAATTTAAAGCAGAAATAACTTGTACCATTGAATTCTCAGTTTGTACCCCCTGTGGTATTTCACACATGCAGCTGTAGCCACAGTTGAGTGTGGTCCCCCTTTGCCAGCCGCAGCGGGTGAGGAGGCTGTGTTTTTATGCTAACGTTCTGGGCTATAACCAGAACTAGAACTCATTCCATCGTTTTTGCCAGTGACCCACAGAACAACATGCATTCCAGCTTACTGCAGATAAACGCTTGAGAAGTGTGTGGTTAGAAGCAGCAGCTGGGGAGCACAAACGCTCTGATGTCAGAGTCCGGCCATCTCTAGTTAGCACTGAGTTCTTTGTGTCACACATAGTAATCGTTCTTCTCCATCTGACTTTCCCGTTTGATTTGCTGTCTGTGTTTAAGGGCTCAGCCGTGAATTTTATGTTAAAGCAGGAGTGCTGCTGGGGTGCTCCAGAAAAGGGGGAGAAATAGAGAAAATTCAAACCTACGTTTCTATGAAAACTGAGGCCCTTGTTTCCGTACCTCACATACTTGTTGGTTCTACCACAGCATATAGGCAGAATTGCTATTGATTATTAATTTTGAGTTATTTTTATCATACTCTGTAACAGTACAGTATACATGTATTTACTAATGTTGAATGAGTTTTCCTCTAATTTTTTGTACATTTTCCCCCCTTTTCCACCAAGGCCTTATCTCTTTGGAGCGGGGTGTTTTTCCATAAAAGCTCCATGGTGAGTTCCCATTTGGTCCCGCATGCCTAATTCATTTGCTGTACTCCCGAAAAGTAACTGTTTGATAGTTTGTTTTCATGCATGGCCTGATCACAGATAGATGCACCAAGTTACTGGCTGAGTAGATCTGAATGTTGGCATTTAAACCTTTAAAAAGCAGTTTCTTTGGTTTTACCTGAGTCTTTCAAAACACTTTTTTTTTCTATAAAAACCAGATTTGTTTTGTTTTTATTTGTTTTTTGTTTTTCTGTCACCGTGCTGGTGAATAATACAAGAAAGGTCTAGCCACAAGTAGAGAGAGCCTTTGAATATGAAGTTCCTCACTTACCATACTTCATACTAGAGAACGGAGTTTGTTTTTAAGTACAAATATATGGAGGGCTAAGTTGCACTGTATTTTATTTGGTCCCAAAAGGACTGTGTTGAACTCTGTTTTGAATGGATTAGGTATTTAATAAGCTGAATAAAAGGTAAAGGAATGCATATTTCTGAGGAAAACACCCATGACATTCTGTTGAGCTATGTTAGAAAGTTGGGGCATGATAACCACAGAAAAGGAAGAGTGTGTTCCATATTTACATTTGAAGATAGCAGTTAGAATATGTTGAGGATCTGCTAGAAAATGTGTAAGTAATTAGGAATTGGGGTTCTAGAATAAAGCTGCCTTGCTCTTACATACCAGGTCCTATGTTACATACCAGCTCCTATGTGCTCTTACATACCAGCTCCTATGTGCTCTTACATACCAGCTTCTATGTTACATACCAACTCCTATGTGCTCTTACATACCAGCTCCTATGTTTACTGGCACTGTGATCTCAGACACCCTAGAGCCTTGCATTTCCTCTTTTCCTTATATATGTAATGAAAGCAGCGTTAGCGTCTGTTTTGCGGGTTTGTTGTGAGGATGAAATGAGCCTATAATGGATAAACACACTGCAGTACTCAACGGCACTGGTGCATAGTAGCGGCTCATTAAATAGTAACCGCTGCGGACCGCGGTGCTGGGTGGACACCCTGTCTTAAAACTAGGTCATGTGCTTTGCCTCGAGAGGGTCTCCTGGCTAGTGTAGAACTCTGTGTGGACCAGACTTGTCTCCTCCTTGCAGAGTCCTCAGGCTTTGGCTCCCTGAGTGCTGTGATTTCAGGCGTGTGCCAACACACCATACTATCTCTAGTTCTTAAAAACTTAAAAAGGAAGTTTTGAGCTGTGGAAGGTATTTCAGTTTTTCACATCTTTCTGGTCCTCATAACTGCTGCTAAGAATTGTTTGTTGTGCTCTGTTAGAACCTGACCAGTGTTTTATCTGGGCACGAGTGCATGCATGGAATTGTAGCACCCAGGAGGCCGAGGCAGTAGACAGCAAGTTGAAGTCCAGCTTGGGACATGTAATAAGATTGTCTCTCCAAAATGAACCAGTCTTTTTATGGTTGTATTGTTTCCTGAAACATTTTCAGGGTTCTTGTGCCCTGGGAATGGAAGTTTTCATTCTCCTATAGGGCTAGGTGATAGAGTCTCCACCAAATATCCACCTCTCTACTATAGGACAGGACAGAGATTGCAAAGCTGTCTTGATAATACACAGAGGCAAATCCTCTCAAAGTTGATCTTTCTTTTTTTAAAATCAGATTTCTTCTCAAAACCAGTAAAATATAAGGATTTTTGCTGGCTTAGGGTGACTAGGGAATTTTAAATGCCACATCCAAAATATGATTAAATGTCTTTGTGCACTAAATGTGGAATTAAATTCCATTTGAGGATAAATTCCTCATTCTAAGTACAAAGCAAAGAGTTTCAGCATGTTAATACAGACTGAAGTTTTGACATGCAGCTGAAGATGGACTAACAAATGTTGTGTGTTAAATAAGGAAAGTCCGCTCCCCAACAGCTTATGTGTTCCTCGCAGCTAAGCAAAGGCACTTGTCAACTAGAAATGATTTGAGGTTGAAACAAGATTAAAAGAGCCAGATTAAAGAAAGGGATCTATGAAATATAGTCGACTTCTAAATCACTGCCTGTCTTCCAGAGACCGCTTTGTGGTTTGTTTGATGCCATCGTTAGGTCCTAGGAAACTCGCTTTTAGTCACTTACACTAGACTCAAAGGTCCTCCTTTTAAATGCGCCACATTACCAGGGTGCATGTTTTTTCCATTAAGATCTTAATGAAACCTCAAATTAAGGCAACAAAATGAATATAGATTTGACAACTTCTTCCATGTTGTTTATGAGAGCCGCTTTGTTTCCGCAGCATTTGCTGTTTTTCCATGATACTTAGCGTTCAACTCGAGAATGTTCTTATTTACGGCTCTAAAATGAAACATCATGCTAACTAACGATGTTTATAGTTCTTTCAGTCAGGACAATACATGTATGTTGGATGAACACGAAATCTTTATAGCTTCTTTTAAAATGTTAATTTTTTATAATTCTCAGAAATTAGTTTTGGGTTACAACATTTGTAGTTAGTTAAGGTTTTTTTGCTTTTGGTATGTCACAGTTTGCACTAATTATTCTTCAGTAAAGGACTTTAAGTCTTTAATTCAGTTTCAGATGAGACCATTTAAAAGCAGTGTTTTTCCCTTTGATATCACAGCAGGCTGGGAATGAAATGGTGCAGTCTATCTTTGACAGTAGTTGTCAGCCTAGGAATTTCCAGCACTTTCCATGTTATATGTTTATGTAGGATATTTATTGTTTTGAGAGACCATGCCAATTTTTGTTGTTGATTTGTTGAGACAATCCATCCAAACTGTAGCCTATGCTGGCCTGGAAATTACTGTGTAGTTCAGGCTGGCCTTAAAGTTTGTAAAGTTCTCCTGCCTCAGCCTAAGGGCCACTTACTAAGGGATTTTGATTTCTGCATTAACAGTGTTGTGCTGGAGTGCATGCGGTCCTGGGTTTTACCTTCTGTTTCTCAAGTGCTTTCCCAGAGTTGTCTGTGTGTAGAGCACACAGTTATGCTTATGTTCCCTGGGAAAATAGCCCTTATTCATAATAATTGCCCCTGTGTTACGTACAGTCACCTTTAAGAAAGGAGTAAAGTTTATGTGTGGAATTGGAGTACATGGTTTTTCCTAAGCGTTCTTCTGAGCATATTTGAAAGCTTCACAGTTTCACCCTTGCAAGGTGATGTGTGCAGATGAGATCTCTTTCATCTGTTTGTTTTCTTCTCTTTTAAACTAGTAAGCATACTTTATAATATCATAGTCTAAGTAAATTTATAATAAATATTATATAAATAATTATTCATGTTTTTGATTGTTTAAAATAAAGTAATTCTAGTTGCCTTTCCAGTCTAGTTTTAGGGAAAAAATTAGAGAAAGAGAAGATTTCTAAATTCTTTTGAAAGCTTTGTCACACGGAAACTAATAAAACTCATAACAAACAAGAATTTTCAGGTACTTTCTCTCCGTTGGAATTCTTAGTGCTCGTTCCCACTCAAACTCTAACGTTTGACAGTTGGCTTCTGTCTCAGCTCCTGCCATGCTGTGCCCCTCTCTCAGCATCCTGGGCGAGTGTGCCCCCCCATTGCTGCAGCTTCAGTTCCTCTCTGTGGTGCATGGCACAGTTATTTGGGGGCGGGGGGGGCGTGAATACCGTCCTTTATTTCTAAAATGCAGGTGTCTCTAGAGAGAAGGGTTTTGTTTCTGTTTCTTTTTCTTTCTCTGGTTTGCATTCGAATGCAAAACAGGCAAGAGAAATCCAGTGTTAATCTAGATAGTGATGGGGGGCTCTTAAGACTTTCCAGACGTTTGAGAAGCGCTGGGATACAGGTGAGCTGCAGTGAGAATGATTCAGATTCTTCAAGCGCTTTCTTAGGCGAAGAGAGAATTAAACTGCTGCTGTGTTTATTTCGCTCTGTGTTTGTGTGTTCTGTTTTTCTCCCGGTTCCTTAGGAAGGGTTTAGTGCGTGTGGTATTTTATGATTATTATTTTGCCACGATTGGCAAATGTTGTATTTATTTCATTTTTCTTTCATGTTTTGCTAAAAAGTTAATCCAAGCGCTCGATGTAGTAAAGAGGCATCTGCGGGACTGCTGTGTTCTGCTCTGTGTCTCTTAAACTGTCAGTGTGCATGCTGTGTTCTCCTGTGTGCTCCTTTAAACTCACGGCTGAGTCCATATAATCAATGCAGTTAAACTTCTGTGCAGCAATTAAAATGGAAGTACTGTTTTAATCATTGTACTATCAATAGCATAAGTGTGTAAGGTTAAGTCGGTAAAGAGCAGTTCATTGCCTATGCACAGGAAACCTTCTTAAACTGGCCTGTGCTGGGGCTTGTTGTTGTTGAGACCCCTTCTGAGGAGAATGGTGTTGAGCACAAACAAGAAACGAGGTTAACATTACAGTCTTCCCCGTGCAGGTCAGGTGAGCAGTCTGAACGTCCACATGATTTACAGGGCTGCCCCTCTCTTCTCTTACTTATGTATCCTCTTTCTCTGCCTTTTTTTTCTTCTTTTTTCTGTCAACAGCAGGGTGTTTTGCAGTAGAAATACTCTGGCTCATTGTGGAAAGGTTCGTGTGTAGCCTGTTGCATACATGCATGAGAAGAAAGATCGTTTTGGTTCTACAAGGCTTATTCTACATTTTTTTTTAAAATTAAGATTAGGAGCAAATGGAGCCAGAGTTAAAATGTCTAGCTTTAAGGAGAACACATAAAAAATGTTTTCTAAGTAGCGGTTTTTTTTATTACATTATCTCTTTTTATTTCTCTGTAAGATTTATACATGCGTGCACATATTTTTATGTTTCTATTTTGCTTAAATGACAAAATCATGCCAGATGGAGACTGATGATGGAAATAACTCGATATGAACTAGCTCCCCCAAATATGCTCTCTCCCCTCTTCAGCACTGTGGTATGTGAGGGGCATTAAAAAATATCTTTTCAAATTGACTTCTTAACTTATGAGGTTTACTGGTCTCCTATCACTGGATAAAGGATAGCTGATGAAATATAAGACTAAAGTAATAGTTTTTTCATAAATGCAACACAATTTTACCATAGGATGTTGTTGCTCATAACACATTTGAGTTTGTATAAAATGGTGCTGTGTTGGTGGTGGCTTTCAGAATGGACCCATGTGAAGCCTATGGAAGTATAATGAAGTTTAGCTGTTGCTGATTCCAGGCTTGCTAAAATGTAAGATGATAAACGCGTAGAATGTTCTCAAAGGATACACTGATGCCCTATAATTTTTTGGCGTTTCTTGATTCTTTAAGAAAGCTAGTCTTTTGTCCTGGTGTTATTTTTGAGTGTGCCCAAATCTTTCAGAGGAACCATATATTCTCTCTTGAAATGGCACAAGCGCTCGCTGTTACATGATTAAGTAACGCCAACCGCAACAAAGTCTCATCCAGTCATTTGCCAATTCGAACTTGTTTCTGTGAAGCTTACTTGTACATTATAGCGTGACTGGCTCCTGATAGTGTAGACCCACAGTTGCAAACAATTCTCAAAGAAACTCTTTAGTGAACACTACAGAGATCATGCAAGCAAGAGGACCAGAATTTAGATCCCCAGCACCCATATAAAAAGCATGGTATCAAATGTCTATAACTCCAGCCCGGGGAGGGGAACGAGTGGGAGGTGAGGAGAATAGATGGATCCCCAGGTCTTGCTGGCTAGCTTATCAGTTGACAGTGGGAAAACTGTCAGTAAAATAGCAATAGCAATGGTGACAACGACATCATCAACAACTACAATGTAGAGAGCAATAGAGGACGTCACCGGCCTTGCTGGTGTCCACACACGAACATACAATCACACACACAAATAGTGGTTTCTCTCGCTCCTCTTCCCCCAGGGCCATAGTGGCCAGGGGCACATCACAGATGACCGCCACAGGAGCTTGTCTGCCATGTGTTAGTCATTCAGCGATGGACTGGGAGGCGTTGAAGAGCAGCACACACTCTGAGGAAATACACAAGGAGATTCACTTCCAGACGATTAGTTGTGACTTTCAGTGACCTAGATATTGGGAGGGCGCACATGCTGAAGTGTCAGAGGAAGGGTGATGCTATTGCCTTTCTGGTGGGTCACTGGCAGAACAGCTGTGCAGCAAGGGAAGTGGGGGACCACATCCACGGCATCACATAAACCATTCTTCAAAGACCGATGCAATATTGTTTTCTTCTGTGAGAGACTGACCACACTTGATTTCGTATATTTTCTATGTGGATGTATTTAGTGGGAACAATGTGTTCAGTGAGTATTAATGAGTGAAAGAAATGGTCCTTTTGTGCACTATTGTGTATACTACCATAGATTTTTTTCAAAGTGGAAGTTCAGCTGGACCAATCAGGGCAGCATCTGTTCCAGCCTTCCTCCCTCCCTCCCTGTCTCTGTCTCTGTCTCTCTCTCTGAAAAGTGCCCACACAGAAATCTCAGGAAATTAGATCTTGAAGAGTTTCAGGTGTCACAGGGACAGGTAAAGTGAGGTCACTAAAGCGTTATCTGAAAAATAGGCGAGGTCTGTGAGCTTTAGATGGAATGTGTGTTGTGTTAGGAAATGTGCAGGCCCTGCCCCCGAGAGCCTGGCTTGCTTTCTCTAATGCAGTAGGAGAACACACTGCATAATCTGCCGGGTCAGGGAGGGGGCTCCAAAAATTATATTTGCACAGATTGTGGCAAACTTTTGCTTTATGACATCTGGGATAGGGCCTCATTAGTACTTGCTCAGTTGTCTGAGTAGTGCTCAGTGGTCTTACTATCTGGAGACCATGCTGTGAGAGCAAATACAGTCCCCAGCCCCACACAGTAGGCATTGCCATCTATGTCATGCATTCTGGTAGTCAGAGCTCTGAGTGGGAAGTTAGTCACTCAAGGAAAAGTGTTGGGTCATTCCAGTTCAGGTTTCTTCTGGACCCCAGAAACCAATCTTCCCATGGCAACACAGCTGGTAGGAGGTAATGAGATAAAGTGAGGCAAGGGCAGAAGGTGGTGGTCACGTTGGTTCCCAGTAGGACTCAGTGCAAAGCTGAGCCTCAGGGCCCCAGCTTCACGGCGTTGACATTTTTGCCCGTGTGTCATATTCTGGGCTGGGAATTAGAGAGGTAATCTATGGGCCATAGTTGTATAATGGATAGTTAGCTTTGAGAAATTTGCTAATTAAGAAGAGAACAGAAATTTAGGAATTCAAAGACAATGAAAGCTTGAAAGTAGAAGGCAAGGACGTGAATTGTATTGTGCACAGCAGAGGAAAGCAGGTTCTTAGTGGAAGTCTCTGAAGTGACAGTGGCTAGCACATACATCCTCAGTCACAGCGAAGAGAGAACAGATTGTGTTTGGTAAGCTTTCAGTATTTAGCTCATCCTGGTCTTTCCACTGAGAAAAATAGATAAGTCATTTTCACAAATCCAACCGCCAGGAAGACGTCTGACTCTACTTGCAATAGGACATGGCATTAGATTCTCCAGAGTGTGGTTCTGCAGAGAGCGGGGCTTCAGGCAGCACCAAGGCTTCATTTTGAGTCATCCTTAATCCACGCATGCTGTCTCCATGTACTGTATGGTAGTCTCTTGTCCTGACTTCAGAATGAACTGTTAATGTTGGAAATGTGTCTGTTCCTCCACTGGAAAGTTTCCACTGAAATGTTAGCCATCTGAAAGGAGTGACTGTAATTCCGAAGCCAGCACCTAGTTCAAAAGCAATTTGTTTTATTTTATTTAGTTACCAAGGCTAGCCAAGGAACCCAGACACACAAAAAAAGTATCCCTCTGGCCTTGGGTGGTATCACAGGTGTGTGCCACCACACTCAGCTCTCTCACCGAGACCCTTTAACTTTGGAATCTTTTCGGTCTCATCTCCTGCACCGTCTCATTCCATTGATCAGTGGTTCTCTGAGGGAATGCATGACTGGGTTGTAGCACCTCAATACTTAGGGGTAGGGCTTACTTTGGGAAAAAAATCTTTCCTAATATACAAGACTGTGGTTCATCATGGTAATTTTTAAATGTTCTTTTACTTTTTAAGCAAAGTCAAACCACCTCCACAAATTTCACCGAGCAAATCGATGGGTGGCGAGTTTTGCGTTGCTGCAGTGTTTGGGACCTCCAGGTCGTGGTTTGCAAACAACGCAGGTCTGAAACGGGAAAAAGGTACGTGATTTGCTAATGTTCAGCTGCCCTGTTGCATCGCCTCTGAGGATACGGGGTGAGCAACTCTTCTAGATGACTTTATGACTAATAGCCTAATAGTTTTTACTAAAATAAAATTAAGTCCACTTCTTTCTTTTTATCTATCAAGTCTCGCTCTAACTAATTATAACTATTTTCTCACACAAATGGAAAATAAATTTACTATTGATTTTTTATTTATTTTCAAGAGCAAGTCCCTATTTATAAACCTGGCTGTATTTAACTTGTAGACCAGGCTGGCCTCGAACTCATAGAGAACCTCCCTGCCTCTCTCTGCTGGTATTATATATGTCATACCTAACCTGGCCCGGTTGACTGTATTTTGTCTTTTTTGATGACATTTTACATTTGATCTCAGGGCTATCTATTTTTATCCCTATCCTATTACAGGTTTTGCACAAGATAATTTCACAGTATTGTCTCTGAAGTAGGAAGGAGAAAATTTTGTAACCTTGGGGTCAACGAAGCTCACTAACGTCAGTTTTTGTTAGCTAAGGGGGCCTGTGTGCATGTGAATGCATTTTTTTCTGAAGAGGATGGTCAGTCCCCTGGAGCTGAAGTTACAGGTGATTGTGAGCTGCAGGGTTTGTAGTGAGCACTGAATTCAGTCCTCTGCAAAAGCAGCAAGTGCTTTCAACTGCTGAGTCATCTCTCTGGTTCCTGCTACATAAAAAAAGATAAAACTAACAAAATCCTCAAGCCCCAAAATAAAACAAAAATGCTAAACTGTTATTGAGAAATAAGTGTCACGTTTTGTGGTTATTATTGTTCCTGTGAGTTGGTAGGAATTACTATGTTTTTTAAAGTTTTGTTAAGTGTATAAATATTTTTGCCTACATGTGTGTATGTACACCAAGTATATGGTGGTATCCATGTGGATCCTCTGGAACTGGAGTTATATGTAGGAATCCTCATGTGGGTGCTCAATTGCTCTTAATCACTGTAGCCATCTCTGCAGCCCATTTCCTATGTTTTTAACCTCTTTTTTGATCACCGGGATCAATACCTAGAATGTTTGCATAAATATTGTTTTAGTATGTGATTCGTTATCATGTATATAGTTTTTTATAGGGCTTGAACCTAGGATCTTTCCTGTGGTCTTTACATAGAAGAGAATGTTTATATATGTTTCACACACCAAGTAAACAATTTAGAGTGTTATGATTTTTCCCATGATTACTTTATTGTGATCAGTTGGGTCACACGCTGGCGTGCCCCTGACTTGTTCCACAGTCACTTTTGTTCCTGGCAAAAATGGCTCTTCTCCCTGCTCACTGTTGGCAGTCAGACACCAGTCATTTCCCCTGCGATCACCTTTCAGTGAACACTGCCTTGTAATCGGATCTTAGCGCAGCAGGTGCCTTCCCAGTTCGGTTTAATGATGCTATCGAAAGGACTTTTTGTTACTCATTAAAACCTTCTGCAAAGCTCGATTTCAAATGCTTCTCCTTCTGTCCTAATTACCCCTTTTGCTTGCTACTCCTTTATGTCCCCCTGGCTGGTCATTGGCCATTTTCTCAAATCAGCTGTAATTGATTCGTCTGACACAGAGATAAGATGACCCACACAGCGCTCATAAGCAATCCTCAGTCCTCCTCTGCTTACTGTAAAACACAAGCTTCAGCACTGAGCCTACTCAGACAATGTGTCCATGTGTCTGCCCTATAAAGTCATGCCCAGCACTGATTTCTCTATGGCTCCGCTGGCATTCCTTTACTTCAGGAGCCAGGAATCTCATTGAGAGGTGAACTAAACTAGTTTGAGGAGGGTCTTTACTTTTATTTTTTGTTTTGTTTTGTTTTGTTTTTGAGACAAGATTTCTCTGTAGCTTTGGTGTCTGTTCTGGAACTAGCTCTTGTAGACCAGACTGGCCTCGAACTCACAGAGATCTGCTTGTCTCTCCCTCCCGAGTGCTGGGATTAAAGGCATGCACCACCACCGCCCGCTGGGTCTTTACTTTTTTCTGTATTATTTCTGGTTCACAGACAAATTGAGAGAAAGCTATGAAGAATGTCTGTCTGTTCTTAGCCCACTTGTGCTTAGCCCATGTCACGAGAGTGCTGTATGTATTTCAGCTGGTGGTCTTATAGAGACAAATGATGCTGTTTTTTTTGTTTTGTTTTGATCCAGATGTTAATATTTAAGTTTTCTGCATGCATGCACATGTATGTATGTATGTGTGTGTATGTATGCGTGTGTGTGTGTGTCTAGTGACCAGAGGTGGATGTTGGTGTCCTGCTCTATTATTTTTGCCTTGTTTTTTTGAGTCAGGGCCTTCCTGAACCTAGAGCTCATTTGGTGGCCAATGAGCCCAGTGACCTCCCTCTCTACCCCTTTTCCTCACAGACGTTACAGGCTGGTGTTTGACTATGCCTGTTCTTGATTTTTGTTTTCTTTTCGTTGGTGTTGGGTTTCTTTGTTTTGTTTTTCAGAGAGTTTTGGGGTTTGAACTCATATTCTTGTGTTTGCCCAGCAAATGCTCATCTCTGTTGAGCCCTCTCCCCAGCTGATGAAATTAAGTCTGCCAAGAAAACATTGAATTGTTAGGCTGACTTAGTTCCACACCTAGCTCCTCGTGTAGGTCTGTTGTTCAAGCCAGTGTCATTAAATTTTATTGCGTAGATTATTCATTTTCAGATAATTCTTCCATGTCCTCCTTATGTCGTTTATTTTCCATAATATGTGGAATAATAAATAATATAGAAATTCAAATTTTTATATCAAAGTGTTTGGCTATATTACAGTTTTGAACATATTGGTATCATTCGTGAAACAAAAGAAATGCTGTGACCTGTTCAGTGGCGTCTGCGTATGCAAGGCTCCTGCGGAGGGTGTGCAGACGCCATGGCACAGAGCTCCTCTTACTTTCTTTTGTAGCCCAAGGTGCAGACAGCAGGGTCGATAATGTAAATCTCCTGCTGTGATCTTTCTCTGCCATCATCATGTCTCTTCTGACTCTCTGTTTGCAGATCAGTCCAAACAAGTTGTAGTTGAATCTCTGTACATCATCAGTTGCTACGGAACCTTAGTAGAGCACATGATTGAGCCCCGACCGCTCAGTACTGCTCCCAAGATCAGTGACGACACACCCCTGGAGATGATGACGTCACCCCGTGCCAGCTGGACACTCGTTAGGTAGTTCTTCCTTCCTCCTACCCCACCCCATGAAAGATGTAAGCTTTGTGAAATCTTGATGTATATGCCTGTGAAATTTATTCACACACAGCGGTGTGTTCACTTGTTATAATTTCCCTTCTTGCCCTTGTCACTAGAAACTTGTTCAAATAGATTATACACTATTGTCTGGCTTCTTCAATCTGGGAAGACTTTAGTCCATTTCTTTTATTATTGGCCATGGTCTACATGCAGTGAAGTTTAAGCACTGCTAGTCATGTGTGTACCCTTCTGCAATCACTTACCTTTATCAGGTGAAGAAATCCTGCATCATTTCCCCTCTAGCTCTACACCACCACCAGAATCTTACCTTGTATTGCCTGTCTTTCCCTGCTCTGGTCACTGCAAAGGAAGCAGTCATGAGATATGTCACCTTTTGTGTCTGATTTCTTTCAGTTAGCGATGTATAAGACTTTAATATCTATTTTATATTCTACTATATAGGAATATCACATTTTGTTTATCAACTTATTGGCTGGAGGCACTTTTTACCCTAAAGCTATCACTAATTGATGCTGTAAATATTCAAATGCAGGATTGTGCATGGTGATGTTTTGTACTGTCTCAGGTGATATAATCAGAGAGTATCTATGTTTGAACTTTTTATATTTTTATTTTGAGCCTAGCCTTTAATATTTGAGGCATCTTTCCAGTTGATTTGAACTCTTTGTTCTCTGTTTCTCTGTGTGTGCGTTTCTTGGTCTTGTGTTTCCCTTATTCCAGTCTCAGATGTTCCTTGCAAATAACGGCATTAAGGGAAATAGAAGCGAATACAAAGAGATGCTAAGGTCTCCTTTAAAGTCGTCATCCAGGATACAATGGTTGGGCACTCTAGAAATGTTTGAGAATCATCTCAACTCATGTAATGAGTAGAATTTTTATAAGATAGCACAAAGAGGAGGAAATGAAACCTGGAATAAATCCTACTTAATATGGTGAATTGTGCATGGGAGAGAAACAGTCACTCAACATGTAAGAAAGGAAGCAGATAAAAATGGATATGAAGATGACCCCTCTCCTTTGACATTTTAAAATATTCTATTGATTTTTTTTTCTTGTGGCTCCAGCATTCTTTACTAGTACTCACTGTGCTGGATTAGCCTGATCAATATCTGATTTATCAAGCTTATTTAAAATTCAGCAGATCTAATTAAACTTCCTGCAGTCTCACTGTTAAAATAGCTAATTCAATCCAAAGTAAGTTGTCCTTTTACACAGCTGCTTTTTAAAAACGACTTTTACTTTGTTTAAGATGTCGAACACTGGTCAAAAACGGGATAAATGTCATCTCTATAGTTGCCATGTAAATAACGTTCCTCTCTTCTCTGTCTTTCTTATGTAGCTGATTACAGACTAGTTCTGATAAGTTAACATCAGCTCCTGTTATCTGGGTGGCACATTGCCGCCGTTTTAGTTTAAGTTCATGGTCTTGTATGTCAAGTTAAAGAGCATCGATCGTAATGATTACACATTCATTTTAATGTTGAGAAGCCGTGAGAGACTCTATCAGGGTCTGTGGGTGATTTACATCCCATCTCTGAAGCTTAAATATTAATATTCTTCTGCTGTTTTCTTAGGACGCCTCAGTGGAACGAGCTACAGCCACCGTTTAACGCCAACCACCCCCTGCTCCTCGCGGCAGAAGCCGTGCACTACTACCAGCTCCTGCTGGCTGGCTGTAAGTACTTCTCCTTGCCTTGCTTTCTGTTTTGTTGTGGTTTTTCTTCCACATGATCTTTTCTGAATTTGCTGACTTTCAAAGCCTGTTTGCATATTATCAGTCCGTGGGCCATAGTTCTTAAACAAACAAAGGGGTGTGTGTCTTCAGCTGCCGTGTTCCTTCCCAATAACTATAGCTTTGAAAACGTTTGGGAAAAGAACTAAAAAAAAAAACAACCCACAAAACAAAGCAAACTATCTATAACATGTGACCTGGCAGGATGTGGAGGACAGGTTATCTGAGCCTGGGACCTGTTCCTAAGGGAATAAAAGCAAGCACTCCATCACAAGATGCCACGAGAGCAGCCTCTGCCTGTAGTTTAGCTTTACGTGGACTCCTTGACGGTCTCCACTTCATTAGGTTTTTGTTTGTGTTGGATGCTGGGGTTCAGACCATGGCCTTGCATGTCCTAACCGAATGCTCTTCAACTAAGCTAGTTTTTTTCTTGAGTACCTTTGGCCATTTGTAGATACTGATGTTCATTCAGCCAGTTACTTTCATTTTTAATATGGGAGGCATGAAGAGACATTTTAATATTTATTATCCAGTTTGTCTTCATTGAATTAAAAATGCTTTACAATTATAATTCGGTTTTGTAGAATATACTGAGTCCTAATTGAACCTGATGGCTCTGAGTGCTGTATGCTTTTAGAAACTTCCTGAAAATCAACAGTGACATGTTTTTTTAATGGTAGTTGTCCTCCGTGTAGTGTCTTGCTTAGCAATTATGGAGCTTGAGCTAAAATAATTGCAGACCTCCTTATTTCATTTTATAGTGTGTTACATATTCTGCTCGAATCAGGAAAACTTGACAGGCTTTGCTCTGCAGTTACGAAACGTCACAAGTAATAAAGAGGGTTTTTTTGGCAGTCTTATTATTACATGTTTAAACTCGGCTTTTTCTGGCACGTTTGTGAAGTGCCTACTATGTGTCAGCATGGACTGAGTGCTTCTGGCCCCAGGCTGGTCACAGTCCAGCTGCAGAGACAATGAAAGTCAAAACCAATGGGATGAGTGTCTCAGTGGAGAATCCTGCCTTCAGGTTGTGCTCCGCACTGAAAGCAATGTCCGAACTGGTGATGGGCAGCAGGTTGGGGTGGGGAGATGTGGACAGAGATACACGGAGTTGTCATTTTCTGGTTTTTTCAGTCATTGTTAGATGATCTAGTACAAACGTGGCACATGATTACAAAGAAAAACTACAAGCATTTTTTTTTTACTCCTTTTTGTTGTTATTGTTGTTTTATTTTTGAGACAGGATTTCTCAGCATAGCCCTGGCTGTTCTAGAGCTCACTCTGTAGACCAGGCTGGCTTTGAACTGACAGAGATCCAGCTGCCTCTGCCTCCCAAGTGCTGGGATTAAAGGTATGCGCCACCCCTACTCTCTATTACTTCTCAATACAAGGGAAAAGCCCTAATTATTGGAATAAGTGTTGTTGGCACAGCTAATGCGGGCTTCGTTTTGTTGTTTTGATACCTGTTCAGATTAGCTGACAGACAGTGGTAAGTCTGAAGTGTCTAAGAAGATAAAGGAGAGTTAAAAACCACACTGCAGCTCTTCATGGTTCCTACCAGTCACGAGCTGGTTGATGGCATTCGACTTAGGTGCCCGAACACTTTTGTCCACTAGTGCCCATTCCTCACTACTGCTGCAGAATCTCGCTGTCCGCCAAGGGCTTTCATGCACGGTGGGAACACCATCAGAGTTGCTGTGCATGTTGGGGGTTCAACCCAGGGCCTGCACACAGTAGGTAAGCGCCCTACTTAGTAGGACGGAGACCGCGTATCTTCTGCCAAGCCTCCCTGCAGCACCATTGGATGGCAGCTCTAGAAAGCTCACTCCTCTGGCAGTTTTGCAGCAGGAAACTTCGAAGAAAGGGATTGGGCAAAGAGTCTTGAAGCAAGGAGAGATCTCATCCACACAGGCCTGTGAGATGCTGCAGGCAGGTTTGGCCCAGGTACATTTACCAGCTGGACCATCTCTCTGGCTTCTGTTGCCTTTTTATATGGATTAGAATGGTACAGCCTGGCTTTTAAAGTTTCACACACAAACTCGCTGACCTGCGGGCATCTGGGAATACATTGCGTGGGGCAGTAGTGCTCTCAGTCTGAGCGGTGCCTTTACTCCCCTCTGGAACACTCTTTGTAAGCCCCTCACAGAAGCCCTCCTACCAAAGACATTCACCATTTCTGGTGCTGTGGGTGCGTTTGTTTGTTTCACTTACTGAAGTTTACAATCATCTTTGAGCCTATGGGCTTTCGAGATGTGTGGTGGAACAGGATCATATTCCAGTAGTTCATTCAGAAGTCACGGTGCAGGTTGAGATGAACCATCGAAGACTGCCATTTTTAACAATTTTTAAAAACTATAATATATGAAGAAATAATATATGTTGAAATTAAATGTGCAGATGGTAATCTTGGTATTTAGGTCAGAGGTGTAAACATCAAGAATATATATCCTTTTGGACATAAAATTATTAGTAGAACTGTAGAGATGACTCAGTGGTTAAAAGCCCTTAGTGCTCTTCTTGAGGACCTGAGTTCAATTCCCAATACCCACATCAGGCAGTTCATAAATGCCTGTAATTTCAGCTCCAGGGAATTTGACTCCCTTTTCTGACTTTCAAAAGTACACACACACACACACACAGCCTTCTCCTTAAATAAAATATAAAATAAATTTTTTGTTGAGATTAAGGGTTTATTGTTGCTATTATGTTGTTCTTTCAAAGTCACACTCGTTTCGTTGTAGAATATTCCTTTGCCAAAATGAACACTAACCTTACAATAAACAGGTCAATCAGCTTTGAGTACCATCCCAAAGGTCCCAGGAACTTTTCCTTTAATCTGCCCTGGACCTTCCAAACTGTGAATTTAAACCATGCGATTGGGAAAGCGTCTTTGGAGGATAAATAGTCCCTAGAAACCTCACTCAGCCGCAGCTGTGCTTCCCAGTTGGGCCCAGCCATGCGGGGAGCGGGCGTCAGACTTCAGACTGCTTTCTTAATAATCCACAGTCACGTGATCCCATGTGAACCCATACACCAGTGAAAAAACCATAACGATTATAAGGTATTTGAACCGAGTGAAATTGAAAGCAGAGCTTGTCCATATGTTAGAATTTTCTCTCTCTTTTAAGCAAAAGACTTAGTTGTGAGTAGATGACTCAGTTTGATAACTCTCAAGGAAACTGTGCCAAGGGAGAAGAAATGCAATCTCGAAATTTTGCATAGTTGATGGTTCCATTAGTGTGTCATTTCTAAATCTAAATTAATGTGTCATATAAATGGCAGTTCTGTGCTGGGCTTTGCTTGTGCTTTTGTTGTTTCATTTTTGTTTTTTGGGGAATTTTTGTTTTGTTTTGTTTTTGTGGCAGGGTTTCTCAGTGTATCCCTACCTATCCTGGAATGCAGTTCATGAAACAGTCTGGCCTTGAACTCACAGAGATCCCCCTGCTGCTGCCTCCTGTGTGCTGAGAGCATGCTGAGATTAAAGGTGTGTGCCACTACTTTCTGGCTCTAGCTGTAGCTTTGCATGGGGAAGAAGAAAGATGGTTATCTTTGAAAGCTTGGTGCAAGATAAGTGTACATTTTGATGGAACAGTTTTATATCTTTTTTAAAGAGTGTGTGTTAAGCTGGGTGGTGGTGGCACACACCCTTAATCCCAGCACTCCAGAAGCAGAGGCAGGCAGATATCTGTGAATTCGAGGCCAGCCTGGTCTATAAGAAAACCTGTCTCGAAAAACAAAACAAACAAACAAAAAAGTTTGTGTCCATGTATATGTGTTCATGTATACTCCTGGACATGCCAGAAGAAGGTGTTGAATGTCCTGACATTGATGTTGCAGGTATGTGAGACTCTAGATGTGGTCTCTAGGCACAAAACTCAGGGCTTCTGAAAAGAAGTACAAACTTTCTTAACCACTGAGCCATTCCTCTAGTCCTCAAATGGGCCGCATATCGAAAGACCCTTTGTGCACGTCGACATGTGTTGCTGTGATAAGTATCATAATCGACTTAGAGAAGGTGGTTTCCTATCCTCTCAAGGGTTCCAGCCCACTGTTGAGAGAAACTGGGCCAGGAAAACTGCTTACTGGCTTGCTCAGATATTCTTTTTGTATACAGCCTGAGCCCCCACATCAGATTTCTGTTGAGAAAATGTCATGTCTACAGGCCAGTCTGAAGGTGGCAGTTCCTCCACTGTGGTGCCCACTTATAGCTGTGTCCATATGATGACCAAGTTTAGACATAACAAGTAACCTTTGTCACTTAGATGAATCTGATACACAGATACATCCCTATCAAACTGTAACCTTTCCTTTCTTGTTGATCCTTAAGGTTTCACAGTTGTAGCATATTATAAAGTGCAGTGCAATTTTAAAAGTACTCCCATAGTCTTTAAGAATTTCAGTGCTTTAAAAGTTGAGTTCTTCTTATAATATCCAAAGTCTCTTATGAACTCCTGTAAAATAAAAAAAAGTTACATAGTTTAAACAGCAAAAGATAGAGACATAGTCATAATCAGATCAAAGCAAAACCAGAATCCAGTATTGTAAATGGCACCATGTCAAGTATCTGTACTCCCTCACAATCTTCCAGCCTTCACGGGCCTTGGGTAGCTCCTATTTCCTTTCTCTGCCTCATGCAAAACACCCCCCCACACACACGCCCCATTTGTCTTGTCAGATATATTCCATGCCTGCCAACTATCCCTAGTGTAGATATCCCAGGGTCTTGGCAGTGCCAATACCTTAAAATATCCATTGCAACTTTGGCTACAACTTCACTAATGATCTTACACAGCTTTTTGAATACGTATTAATGCATAGGAGTATATTATGGCTAATCTTGACGGCTAATGTACAATACCTAGGACCAGGGTATCTCTATTGAGCAATTGCCTCCAAAATATTAGTCCTACTGTGCCTGCTTCATTTTCTTTCCCCCACAGTGG